CTTTATTTATGCTTTCTTTTATATATATATATATATATATATATATATATATATATATATATATATATATATATATATATATATATATATATATATATATATATATATATATATATATATATATATATATATATATATATATATATATATATATATATATATATATATATATATATATATATATATATATATATATATATATATATATATATATATATATGGAGAGGTTCTAATAAAAACCTAGAGAACTAAAAACCAATCCTAACCCTCCAATCTATCTAATCCAATGGCCTACATTTCGATGGCAGAATTGTAAATATAGACAAATTTAATACACATCAGCTGTAAAAAACAATGTGAAAAGGGTAAAATTGGAATAATTCACTACATTAATGGTGGCTGGCAATATTAGAAACTGGAGATAATGATTAAAACCAAAAATACAACACGTCCTTTAATACTCTCTCTTACTATCAACGTGCTACGTCCTTTCACTTCCCTATTTCTCTCTCTAACTCACTTTTACAGCACGTCCTTTAATACATCACGTCCTTTAATACTCTCTGTAACTCACTTTCATCTTCTATCAAGCTTTGATCTTCCATCTTCGCATGAAGAACACAGCAACAATTCATTAAAAATCATCCTAACTATCCAAGCTTTCGCTGGAGTGAATCTGGATTCACTCCATTGAATCTGGATTATATTGAAGCTCGATTCATTGGAGTGAATCCAGATTCACTAAATTGAATCCAGATTCACTGGACTAAAACTAGTTATCAAACAATAGCAAATCTGCAAAAATAAAAAACAAAAAGAATAAGAAACTTATGGTAAAAAACAAGCTATAAAATTTTAAACCATGATAAGATTTCATATTTTACAGCAAAAAGTTACGATTTTATGGTTAAAAAACAAACACCTCACATAACTGAATCTGGATTCACTGCAGTGAATCTAGATTCACTCATGCGTTTATTTCTTCGAAATTACAGCACATGCATTTATTTCTTCAACAATTCATTAAAAACCATCCTAACCATCCAAGCTTTCGCTGGAGTGAATCTGGATTCACTCCAGTGAATCTGGATTCACTCCAGTGAATCTGGATTCACTCCAGTGAATCTGGATTCACTCCAGTGAATCTGGATTCACTCCAGTGAATCTGGATTCACTCCAGTGAATCTGGATTCACTCCAGTGAATCTGGATTCACTCCAGTGAATCTGGATTCACTCCAGTGAATCTGGATTCACTCCAGTGAATCTGGATTCACTCCAGTGAATCTGGATTCACTCCAGTGAATCTGGATTCACTCCAGTGAATCTGGATTCACTCCAGTGAATCTGGATTCACTCCAGTGAATCTGGATTCACTCCAGTGAATCTGGATTCACTCCAGTGAATCTGGATTCACTCCAGTGAATCTGGATTCACTCCAGTGAATCTTAGATTCACTTATGCGTGTCTTCGTTTTTCAACTGGTTTCTTCAAAAAACAAAAAACTTTTCAGACTAAAAGGTGAAATATTTCACCTTTTACAACAAAAAGCTACGATCTTTAAGGTTAAAACTAAAACTTTTAGACGAAAAATCAAACAAATTTCATAAACTTACCATTAAAGCGTCAAAATAATTTAACGACGACAAAGGTTGAAGACAGTGGTTGAAGATGAAGGTTGAAGACGAAGGTTGAAGAAGACCGTGGATAGGGAGATGTTGAAAACAGAGAGAGAGTTG